AGAAATGAAAGCTGTATATTGGATTTTGAAAATATTGAAAATGTATTGCTTTGTTTCAGTGAAAAACTTTCAAACTTTCATCAGATAACTAACCTATAAAAAGGTGTAAGCTGCATAATCTTAAGTATTTACAGTTCAAGACAACGACGAAAAAACAGTGCAGACGATGTCGAACATGCACAAAGTTTAGCTGCCTTGGGAAGACTCTAAATCTGTCTATTATTCAACATAATAGATGCACGTAAAACGCTTTGTTATTTATTACACGTAAATTGATTAGTCTGAAGAATGAAAAGTTTTTATGCAATTGAACAATAGGGAAAGTCTGGAAACATGGAAAGCCCGAGCACAAAGCCATTACCCAAATTTTGATTGGACGTAAACTTTTAACAGATCTGGGGATCAAGTAATGGTTACCGCTCTTTAAGCGGTTTAGCCAAAACATTTTAATTTAACATTAACCTTTCGCATACACGGTAAAACCTGATGTTGTTAAGTGCGGTTATGAAGTGAAATTGAGCAGTTCAAGCAGCAATCGCACGTGATGAAAGCACGCATTGAAATGCAAATATTTATATAATAGTCTGGAGAATCTCAATTGAAAATTTTAATTTGTATATTGGGATTGATTCTAAAAGATTAGATGATTCCCACAAATTTTCTTCTTTCCTGGCGGTGCAACTCGGGGTCAGTCTTAGCCTCATCCACTCTTGCTCTCCATCTGCTCCGATCTTGTGCTTCCACTTGCCACCGTGGTACTCCCATCTTAGTTAAATCTACTGCGACAGCATCCTTCCACCCTTTTCTAGGTCTACCTATTTGATCTTCGGTCATCTGGTCTCCAATGAAGCCTGTTTTTACCAACTTGTTGTCTTCTGACCTTACTACATGTACTTACTATTCGGCATTGTAGGTCTTTTCCACATTGCTGTTGTTTCATCTCTATTGGGACCAAATATCATTCTGAGGCCTTTTCTTTCAATCACAAGAATTTTCCTTTGCCTGAGGTCCAGGCTTCGCTCCCATAAGTCACAATCGGGCGAATTATTGATCTGTAGGGTTAGTTTGGATTGTCTCTTTAACAGCGATGATTTCAATATTGTTGTGAGAGAGTATCGATTGGCAATCGTGAATACCGCTCGCAGGTACTTGAATTCCTTAACCACCTCGAAGTTGAAGGGCTATATTAAGGGTTATATTGTGCCCAATTCGAAGCCTTGGATTCTTCATAACTTCCGTGTATTTTGTGTTTTCTTCGTTTACTCGCCGGCCCCGATTACCTGCTTCTTCCTCCAGCTGTGAAAAAACCTCTCGTCAGTCGTTGTTCAATGCGCCACGGTGTCTATGTTATCAGCAAAAGATTACAGCAGTTTTGAGCCTTGATAACCACAACCTTCTGGTAGCTCCGACTCTGTTTTGCTTACCGTATATTCCAAGACACGGTGGCGTTGATGTTATATTTCCCACTCTGTCCTGTGCATATGAGTTTCTTACGGATATTTCTGTTAGCTCCACTAGTTTCCTTGTTATGCTCATCTCCAACATTGCCAGCCATAACCTGCTTCGTTTCATGGAGTCATATGCTTGCTGCAAATGTACGAATATTTGGTGAAAATCCCGGTTGAACACCCAGTTCCTGCGAATATTTAGCTGAACTTGGTATTGGTACTCTGTTTTCTTCCTCTGTCTCGCTCGCAATATTTAGTAACTCCTGAAAGTACTTTTTTCATTTTCTGGCAATTGTCGCTTCCGTCGTTATTAGCTCACTGTCTTTGTTTCTCCAGCACTTCCAGCTTTTCCTACTCGCGTTACTTCCCTGTAGAATTTCGGTACTTGATGCATACCTCTACTTCTGGCCATTTCCCGTATTTGATGTTCCAGGTGATCTCTTCCAGCTTTAACTTGTGTTCCTCGTCTCTTAAACAGTCAAATTTGTCACTTATGCCTCTTTGATAGTCATCTTCCTTATTCAGTGTTTGAAAAGCTTCAGGTCCCAAGCTGTCTTTCGTTCGTTTTGCTCCGTTTTCCGTGATAATATTCCTATACACAGCTTTTAACTAGGAAGAACATTTTTATTTTTGCAAGTTGTTCTGTCGTTTGAAACCCATGTGACTTTGTAAACGTTTCTTCTTTCAAATTTTTTTTATTTCGCTCGGAGTTTTACTTATTATCTCTCTTGATTTTGGGCCAAATATATACCAATATACAGGGTGATTCGCAACCTTATTGATACAGAGCCGGGGCGTGTAGAGAACCTCAAAACAAATCGAGTTTCTATTAAAGTTTTTTTCTCAGGCCCATGGTTAACAAAGTACAGGGAGTTAAAGTTTCAAAACATTTTTGGTATTTGTCCTTTACTCCTAACTCCTACAGTTTATGCGATATTTTGCTCAATTTAATGTAGGCTAATGTTTAGACCCCTTACGTACGGACGTAAGGGGACTGAAAATCTACAGGGTGGTCTTTATTCTAGAGGCATACCCCCTTTTACCCCTGCGAACTTTTTGTGGTGCACCGCTGACTTCGACCGAATACATTTTGCATTTGCTGTTCAATTTAAGAGTTTTCTGATATCTTGCAGTTTTGGCGTATCTGTCTTTGTTTTCGAGTTATTTGTACAAATATAAGTCCATGTAGGGTTTCTGGGTGATTTTATATCAATTTTTTTTATAAATTTGCTGGTCCTTTTTTTCACATTTTTCTGTAAAAGCTTCAAGTGCAAGTTGAAGTTAAAGAAGTGAAAATAGTGATGGCTGACGAGTTAACTTAAGTTATTAAAGTTAAAAATTATTTTCTCTACTTGAATTTAATTTAGCAAAAATTGAGGTTTATCAGCTGTAAGCTAATTTAAATAAAAATACACAAAAATGTAACGAATATTTCAATTTATTATGAAATTAATTTCTTTCGCGAAAAAATGTGAACAAAAGGACGCAAAAAAATATAAGGAAATTTATGGAAAATCACCCAGAAACCCTACATCGACTTATTCTTGTGCAAATAGCGCAAAAACGAAGATAGATACGAAAAAACTGCAAGAAATCGGAAAATTCTTAAATTGAACAGAAAATTCAAAAAAAGTTTTTATGCCTCTAGAATAAAGAACACCCTGTAGAAATTCACAACTAATCGACTCACTTACGGGTAAAGGGTCTCAACGTTAGCCTACATTAAAAACTTGAGCAAAATATCTAATAAATACCAAACTTTTTTTGAAACCTTAACACCCTGTATCTCGTTAACCATGGGCCTGAGAAAAAAAAACGTAAATGGAAACTCGACTTATTTTGAGGTCTTTTACACGCCCCTGCTATGTGTCCATAAGGTTGTGAATCACCCTCGTATATTCACGAAGAGTCGATAAAAACATAACGTTGTTTCAGGCGCTTTCGAACACACTATTGCCCATTTTTCTCAAAAAAGTGGACCAATGATGCCACTTGAATCTTGAAAAATGGGAAAACGGGAATAATGAAGTTACCGTCGGGTTTTGAAGTTCGCAAAAGCTGGAATTGATTGCTTTGTTTCGGTAGAAAACTCTCAAAGTTTCTCGAATTTTCTACCACAAATTTTCACACAATAATGGCATATACTTTCCTGACTGTGTTTCAATTCCAAATCAAAATTAATTCCTGGGTTTCAGTCATTTATTGTCTTTATTTATCAATTAAAATACGTTTCGGTGTATTTTTCCACCATCATCAGTTTTTACGTGTAGCGTTGTTGCTGCTTTAAGATTTGTCATACATTTCTGCAATGTACAAACGTATGCCAAGGCTTAAAGCAGCAACAACGCTACACGTAAAAACTGATGATGGTGGAAAAATACATCGAAACGTATTTTAATTGATAAATAAAGACAATAAATGACTGAAACCCAGGAATTAATTTTGATTTGGAATAATGACATATTCATTTTGTACAAGCTTTTAAGTACATCTGCAAACAAATATTTTCATGTTAATCAACTTGGCCTTTTGTTAATGTTTACATTTGAACTGTTCGTAATTTCTGCAACTTAAATTAACTAAATCAGGGAAATTATAATCTGCTCTAAAAATCTATTAAATAAGGTAGTGCCGACTGCGTCCATTACAAAAAATGTGGCAGTTTTATTCACCGCACAAGAAGTTAAGGACAATAGACACTAATCAGCACTAATAAACACTTAAAAAAATAAATCGGTTGTTTTTGCTCCTCGCTATGGCTTCCATGGACACTGCAGAGATAAAAACATTGCCATATTGGCCTTCATTCTCACTTTTATATAAAATTGGAAAAGTTATTGAAACTTTCATGAAGGTGAAAAGACATCGTCTGCCTAATGAGCTCACCAGCATTAGAACAGAAATTTATCAATTTCAAATCACTTGAAATACATGTTGAAGGCTCCAATCGAAACAATACCTTTTTTCGAGCCAGCTCGACATCTGAACCTTAAGGGTTGGATGCAACGTCAACCACCGAAATCGTGGACGATAATCAATAGTGGCGTAAGGACAGTATTGAGGCTCAATTAGGGGCAACTCGCCAATTAAGATGGTAATGCGCCCTTAACACGAACGACAGCATATCAGAGCCGACTATGCAAATTTGTTTATTCAAGATCCGGGTGTAAATTCGATTCACCCACATTATGCAAATGCGGTTCGAGCGGATGTTTGAGGCAGAGCGAGCCTCCTGAGGTCGTTTTGCAACATTTAATCGCTCCGTTTTCACGTAGGTAAATGATGTACTTGCCTGTACAGGTGCAAATGGAAATACTTGAAAAATCAGCGCTGTTTTTTTTTCTTTGCCCCGCCGACCTGAAGAGGGCTTGTGAAAAAGGCCGCATTGTTCGGTGAGAGAATGGCGGCTTTTGTTCTTGCGAGATCGATTTTTGCGATGGAGTTTACACTTTGCTGTAGTGGTTTGGAAAAACTGAAGTTGTTCTAGTTTTTTTGTCGTTTTGCCCGCCGAACAACTCAATGGCTAATTTCCATTGTCTCCATTTTTTTCAGACAAAAACCATGAAGCCAAGGCGAGCAATCTCCAAACTCTCCACTAGCCACGAGTGCCATTAAGGAGCTGCCATGGATGGTCTGGTTGAGACTCTTTGGAAAATATGGGTTTCATTTGTCCAAGGAGACACTCGCCTAAGTGAATAATGAAGCTGAAGCCTGTCGGTTTGAACATGTAAGTTTCCATTCAATTAACACCAAATTGTAAAATTGAGGTTTATTCAAAGCTTCGAACAAAGCGAAGAATCCTCTGCTTGTACGATTCCCTTCAAAAACATATGGCCTATCCCAGTCACAGAAGCAGAGACATTTTAAAGTTTCATGTCGGGAAAACGGTCCTCGGGAGTATACTAAATGGGATTCTTGGAGAAAAACAGCACCGGAAACTAGTTTAGTAACGGAAACAAACCGTGAATGTTTATTGTGTCACGTTTCTTGCCCGATTCGACTGCCACTTTAGCTTTGATTTGTTGCCAATAGTAGCTAGAAAATGCCGTGGAAGTTTATCGGTTATAAGCGCGGGGAAAGTTGATGTTTTTTTCCGATTTGAGAGCTTTATTTTAAACTGTTAAAGCTGTTTGGGAGCCACTAAAAGCACTGGGGTCTGGGTCAGTTGAATGGCTGTTGAGCAGAGTTGATTGACTGTAAACTTGTTTTGATCGTTGCAAAATGCCAGTAGATGGAAGTGAAAATTAATTTTGGTGAATTAGTTTTGCAGTTTTGTTCTGAAGTATCCATGGATTATTGAATTTTTTCAACTTTGAATGTCGACAGTGCTTGTTTTAAAGCGGAGCCTTGCTGTCTCGCTGGACTTGAACATTTTCTGCAATATTTTGAGTCTGGTTTCTTTCTCCTTATTGTTAGTTTTGTTGTTTCTCCAAAATTGTCTCTAAATTTTAGTAGGCTACTCGAGCTTTTCAGATTTTTTTTTCAGATTCGGATCGAGTTGCAGGGTTGATTTTCACCTCGTTTTTAAGCAAGTACAGCTTATTTCCAAATGTTCTAGAATTTGAGCAATTTGGCCAAGTTTTAGAGCAGCAAATATATTTATAATGCAAGAATGAAAATGTTGTCTCTATTTTTTAGCGAAAATTTGATGCTATTAATAATGCGGAAGTGGATTTTCTCCCAAATTATCGTGATGGTTTGCAAGATTTTTTTCTTATTGATTCGTCAAATGTTGATTTTCTGTCGAATTTCTCAGAATTATGAACAATTTTTCCAACTTCCAACAAGGTAAAGGTCAGATTTTTCTTCCATCTCATTTTTCAGAAAGTTTTTTTTAATTGGTAACTAGAGGTGATTGGAAATTAGAAGACTCGTTTTGCTCAATCTGCCAGGAAAAACCTCAGTTTGTTCATCTTGCAAAGGTTAGCTTTCCGATGGATTTTCTGGATTTTTGGCAGAAATTTGGAAGCTGGATCTGTTTTTTAGTGTTTATCTTGTTCATCTGTTKGTTTTCTTARATAAAGATAAGGTTGAAGGGTTGCTTTTAAAATATTTCAAAGAGAAAACTATTGTCTYTCTAASACTTGGCAAGCGAGGATTACACGCAACATTTTTCAGCTTTTGTTAAATTTTCCAAAAAGCTCTTATTTTCACCCTAACCCTCAACATTTTAAAACCATTTCAATGAAATTTGTCCTAATTGGAAAATGCACTAAAATTGCAAAACGCTACAGCGTGACTAGTTTCAGTTTAAAATCCTAAAAAACCCACGTTTTTTTTTAATTTYTTGCWCAARATTTGCGAAMAGTTTTTTTTTTTMATTTTCTTGATAAAACRTATGTTTWTTTGCGAATTTTCTGGACTSTTAGAACTTRGATTTTTTCACCCTTTCAWTCAACTTTTCATAGATTTTGCCCCGAATGGTTCTAAACTGRAAAGCAGATTTTGAAGCTGTTTTATGTAGGAAACGTTGATCTATTAGTCCTGCAGATACTGATTTTCTGCTAAATTTTATTGTTTGTTGASAAATTTTTCAAAATTGAAAATTGACCTCAATTTTGTGCATCCTATTCAGAACCATTTTTYTTCCAAAAATTTCAGCTMATAAGTTTGATAAAGCTATTAACCAAGCAAATAATGATTTTCTCCCCAAGTGCCCGATTTTTGACAAGTTTTCGTGYCTGAATAATAAAATTGAATTTTTCTCTGCTTCTCTTTTAGCATGGTTTGTTATTTACAAATTTATTATTCACGACTGTTGAAAGCGAGATCACACYACACTGACAGAAAATATTGTTCCATGAATTATGCAAATGACGCTTTTCTCCCAGAATTCCTCGATTTTTCGYAAAGTTTTTAAATTAAGAAATCAAAATCCGATTTTTTTAAMTCTTGCTTCAACACTTTTGTTCAAAAATGATACTTAATCAAATCAATATTAAAATTATACTTATTTAGGGGATGTATAATTTTCAGATTTCTTTCAGAATTTGTAAGTTTAAATAACAAATTTTAGCTTTTACGCCTTTAATTAACAAAGATTTTACCTTACTTATTCCTAGTATGAGTTTCCTAGAATTATGGATGGTTTTCCAAAGTTGAAAGTAAAAGTAGAATTTTTGTCACGTTTCATGTTCTACCGTTTCTAGTACAATTTTTCAAAAATTGGCAGCTTGAAATCCTTGGAAATGAGGAAGCTCATTTTAACTCAATCTATGAGAAAAAACATCAGTTTAATCATCTTGCAAAAGGTTGCCTTTTCGTTCGATTTTCTGGATTTTTGGGAATTTTGCGAAGTTTGGATGCTGAATCTGTTTTTTGAAATTCCGAAATTTTCCTTAAATTGGCATCATTTTCCAATTGAGCTTTTGCTAAAAAGTTCCAATAAATACTTATATTTCAGCAACAAAGTTGAGTTCCTCTACAAACATAAATATAAAGCTCCCAATGAAAAAGCTCTTATTTTCATCCTGACTCTCAACATTTTAAAACCATTTGAAAACGATTTTTGTCCGAATTGCAAAATGTACTAGACTTGCAAACCGCTACAGAGTGACTAGTTTCAGTTCAAAATTCCGAAAAATCCATTAGTTTCAGTTTTTCTTATTTCATACTCAAGATTTGCGAACAGTTTTTTTTTTCATTTTCTTGAGGAAACACATATTTTTTGCCGATTRTCCAGTCTTTTAGAACTTTTAGATTTTYTTCATTCTGCTTTGTACTCAGGATTTTAAAATATGTTTCAAATTTTCATACATTTTGCYTCTAATGATTCTAAACTGGAAGGAAGGTTTCGAAGCTGCTTTAMGCAGGGAACGTTGATCTATTAGTCCTGCGATTGTCGATWTTCTGCAAAATTTTACTGGTTGTTTTACAAATTTTTTCAAAATTGGAAATTGACCTMAATTTTTTTCATCCCATTCAGAACCATTTTTCTTCCAAARATTGCAGTTAACAACTAYGTTTTTACTTCTTTTTTATARATGAAGCGTTTCTCTAMTACCCAAGCAGATGATGATGATTTTCTCCCTAATTGCSCAATTTTTGAAAAAAAATTGTGTCTGAATGCAAAAACTGCATTTTTCTGTCCTTCTGATTTTGAATCAGAAGCCTAWGCCTATGTGACAAAGCACTGAGGCAGAATGGACGTTTTCACTCGATTTTATASGATAAACGTTCCTCTAAAGRTCAAGCAAATGCTAATTTTCTGCCGACTTCGCTCGATTGTAAACACAGTYATTTTTTTAATCCYAAAGTGTGGCTCAAAATGATGGTTTGGTATTTGAGAGRATTGATCTTTAAACCGCTTTATAAAGAAAACTACYTACTGCATCAGTGCTGCGGGTGCTGATTAYTTCTAGCCCGTCTCGTTCTYTAGAGCTTGGTCAAAATTTATATATTGGAAARYTGAGTTTCACGMCATTGTATSGAGCTAGAAGAAATTTACTCGAGAATTTGCAGATAAAATTACGAATTTGGAAATTGAAATAACGAGCTTTAGTTGTAGTTCTGCCGCAAGTTTTTCCTTTATCCAAAATGGTGATGATTTAGAAACTTTATTTAAAGTTTTGTGCCAATAAATAAAGAAGATTGTGCTCTATTGATCCGTTCAATGTTGAGTTTCTGTCGAGTTTCTTGGAATTTTGGTTAACTTAAGGTGAAAGTAACATTTTTCTTCCGACTTATTTTCTGTTACGACTTTTTTTCAATTGGTAACTAGGAATCCTTGGAAATAAGTAGGCTCATTTTTACTCAACCTGTCAGGAATAAGGTAAGTTAATTTATCATGAAAATGTTGTCTTTATGTAGGAGTTTACAGATTTTTGCCAATTTTTAAGCTGAAACTGTTTTTTTGTTCGTTATAAATCTCGTACGATTGATTGCTTTTCGAAATGAAGACGAGGTTGAAAGACAGCTCTTCAAATGGTTTTTTTTGAAAGGCTGCCAATCAATTGCTAAATTTGGTTAACAAAAGTTGAGCTCTTCCCTAAGCAACTAGTAAACGAAACCTGATTGTTTGCTTTCGATAATTTGATCTAATGTATTCGGCCCAACAAGCTCCTGCTGAAAAAGCATTTAGTTTCACCCCGACTCACAACATTTCAAGTCCACTTAAAATGCAATTTCTGCTGATTGAAAAATGCACTTGATTTGTAAAGCTCCGAGTGATTTAAAAGGATAAAACAACAAAATTCGCTATCCAATTCATACTCGGGCTAAGTACGAGTAAATTTTCTCGACTTACCATTTCGCCCTGCACTCGGGCAAATTAAAATCCCATTAACTTCCGGCATTAAAACTGAAAGAATGGCCTCGGTTGGGCAAAGAATCCGAACATGACTGGCACCTCTATCTCAGACATGGAAGTTTCATTAAAATAGTTGTGGGGAGTTGGCTTGCAACGGACACAATATCTCAGTAGATAAAAGGCTGCAAAAATCCTGTTGCCGCCACGCTGCAGCCTGCAGCCAGAAGATGGAGTGCAGTCCATTAAGTCGCTAATAAAACATCCGGGCACTGGCAATAGGAAGCTGTGGAAAAATCCCTGGCAAAATTACATTTATTTTTCGACATCACTTTAACTGTCTTTGTTATTGACCGGAGTCGGAAGCCAATGCGGCAAGATGGAGCACTGCTTGGGTTACCCCAAGTTCTACATTAGTTTAAAATGTGAAAGTATTTTCTGGGATGTTTTATATAGTTAGGATCGAATTCTAAATGCTGCAG